TGTCGCTCGTGGTTTTGGCCGCCCTTTTTCTTCTCCTCCTTGTCCGCGTATGCCCAGTGGGTGAGGCTGCCGTATCGCGCTTCGTCGCTAATTTCGCCGTCGAGCTGGGAGAAGGAGTGGTGCATGCGCATAAGGCCCTTGTCTTTGGTGGCTTTGGCGCCCTGGAGGACTACCAGCTTCTCGTCGAGCGTGGGGAGCATGTTCGCGATGAGCATTCTGAGGCGAAAGAAGAGCTGGCGCTTCTGGATCGCTGCCTGCTCCTCGGGGGAGAGGCTGTCGGGGTTGGATGGGTTGAGCTGCGAATAGTGAGCCTGGGGTAATGGCGTGCGCTCAAACAAGAACGTACATTGGTATTGTTTTCGGACGCTGTAGAGGCCTGTTCTACAGCCGCCAGCTGCGCCTTGGTGGTGACGGGCTGCTGGGCGATCTCGTCAAGCAGCTCCGTGAGCATCTGCTCTGGGTCGTGGAGTTTCGCCTCGACTTCCTTGAACATGGAGAAGTGCTTGATTATCTCCTTCGGGAATGCGTCGACGGCGCCTGTAAAGTGTGTGAGGGCGGGCAGGAAGCCGGGCGCGCTGTTGGAAGCCTCGGGCGTCTGCTCCATCCCGCTGGCGGCGAGCCGGCCGGCGAAGGTGCGCGCATAGTAGTTGGTAGGTCGGACCGTGGCCCTCCCTTGTCTCGTAGACGTTCGAGTGCCTGTGGTCGGCGGCATGGTGGCTGTGAGGGCGCTCCGTGGGTTGCAGGGCGAGGAAAGTGGCCGCGGACGCGCTCAGCTCAGGATGCAGTGTGTAGAAAGAAGTTGCGTGGTAGGAATGACATGTAGGCGCATCTCAAGCGATAAACAGTAGTTTGCTGGCGTGTCCCGCGATTTGCCTGTGGGTGCCGTGCAGCGTGACGATGCGCAGAACAGGAGCTCCTCACTACCACTTGACGCTACAAGCGCGAAAGACGCTAGGCACTGTCTGTTGACGGAATGTGCACGTGATTTGCGTTATCGGCGGTAGCTTGCCCGGTAGTGACATAAGCCATCGTGCCATCAGCCTCCCACCATCACCACCCTCGAGTTTATCCGTCTCCCCTTCCCCAGCCACACGGGGTACACGGAGCTACCATGCTCCCGCTACTGACCAGATAAGACACCCACAACAAACTTTCTTTCATCGTTACTTTACTCTACGCGCCGGCCGTGTTGGTACTTGCCGCAGTCGTCCGCGTGACATGGTCCGCTATCCTCTACGTGGAAATCCCTTTCGTAACCGTCCGTCCCATATCGGTTCAGATCGCATCGGCATCGCTGAGGTATGCAACGGGACATACGCAGTCGTGTTACTTTGGATAATTTTTTCGAAGTTCGAAGTCCCGGAGATAAATGTCGAATAGTAACACAAAGACTCAGCCTCATGCACGCTTTTGGCCCCGATCCGCGGTTCGCCCCGTATTTCTCCAAAGGCACAAGTCCAAAGAGTGCAAAAGAACTAGTACTATTTCCACTATATTTAGGAGTATCCACCAATTGAGTAACTTCCCATAGCCGCCGTCGGAATGCGACCTATAGCAGCTTGGAATCCTTCGCGGCGTAGTCAGTTGGGTTCGGTCCGGAGATCGTAGTGGAGGAGCATTGCCGGCCTTAAGCCTCAGACGTATACGGTATTTCGCCAGGCACATCAGAGTTGCGTATTCTGGATTGGCTGGATCGCATAAGTGTTTGATCACTAGTTCTCGACACAAGCGCTGCGCGGTTACGACCTCGGAACCTTGGAAGGCACTAAACTTATCAAAACCTAGACAACAGGGAACTAGAACGGGAACGGGAACCAACTCATGCCACGCCGTAGATGCTCGTTTACATCTACCCTTCGGCAAGTAAGTCTCTTCACAAGGGTCGGGCTGGCGAACTGTTGGCACGAGCCCTGATTGTCGACTCTGAGCTCTTAGACGTACACCATCGCTGTTGGGTCGGTTAACAGTCACTTGGGGGCCGTCATAGATGCGTGGAGGATTCGTTTGACTCAATCGTGTTCGAACTTCCATGTCACGTCTTGAGACTTCATTTCTAGGCTTCAATCACCGTATGCGTGACTCCATTCCTCTCACTCTCTCACTTCATTCAACCCTACTCGAAGGTTTGTCTGGTTCGTATTCTGTCAATGTGGGTACTGTAACAACATTCCGCGGGCCTACTCTGAGTTTAAATCATCCTTCAGTAGCGGCACAGCTTCAACATTGCCTAGTTGCCACTCGGGTTGGCGATTGCGGCGATTGTTTCATCTTCCCGACCATTCCATGATTAATATCTTCAAGTGTTGGACTCACAAGGGTCGCGATCTCGAGGCGTCATACGCGGCTCGAAGAAAAGGCTGGCCAGGGCTTGAACAAACGATTGTCTTGGCAGGGACGTGTATCGCGAGTCTCACGGGCTCACCATTGGCCCAAGTTACCAGGCAGATGGCAGTTCAGCGGGGCTCAAGCGGTCGAGCGGCCTCGGGCCGCAGTGCGTTGCATTGTACGACGGCACATGTGAATCACGGACAATAGTCAGGGACGTGGTTGAGTCCGTCCTGAGGTGACGGCGGGTTGCTCAGGCGGTCTGTTCAAACAGTAAAAATTGGTCACTTGAGAGTCACCTTCACTTCCCATCGGCCTGCCGCGATTGCACCGCCGCCTCCCACCCTTTCTCCCACTTATAACCCGCCTCCGCTCACCTCCCTCGAGACTTCCTTAACAACAAACTGAACTCTCGTCAACAGCAGTGCAGCCGACCGTCCTTCAACAGTCGTCCCTCTACTAGTAATATATCTACCCACGGACTCAGTCAACACGTCCACCGACTACATGATCAAGACCCCCGACACCGCCGCTGGCGCTACCTTTACGCCTGAGATAACTCAAGCCGAGAACATTCGCAACAAGATGTCTGTCGACAACCTCGTCGAGAGCCCGAGTGATTCTCCTGACATCACCTCGGCGCTCATAATTGCACCACCTTCCACTCCCAAGTTGACCAAGGAAGAGCCTTCATCGCCCACTGTCAAGACTCCTGACACCGTCATGACCGACCTCGTAAGTGCAAAGCCCCCCATCCGCACGCATCTCGCGCGATGTGCGGAGTCACCACTCCACCATTGAATTCACAGACTGACCGAGTATCAACTGAGTAAAGGCCGAGCCCGACGTCTCTGGTGATGAGTCTCTCGACGACGGCGAAGATGTACCCGACTCACAGCGCGAGTTCCTCTGCATGAACGACGAGCACACTCGCTGCATGACTGGCCAGTACACCAAGGACCTGTCGCGCAAGGTCATCTCCGACCACTTTGGCCGCAACAAGGCGTGTACCCGCGACGTCACCGACTGGCCTCTGTTCTGCCGCAAGCACTACCAGCGCGCGACCTACAACAAGACCAAGTGGCAGATCCGCAAAGTGCAGCTCATCCTCCGCCAGTTCGAGGTAATCGAGAAGCAGTTCCCAGGCACCACCTACGACATCGCTTTCAAGAAGTCCGAAGAAGCGCGTCTAAACCACTACTCCCGTCAAGTCGCCGCCGGAGCCAAGAATGATCAAGCTGAGAAGAGTGTGCACCCCAAGATCGGCAAGCACTTTGAGGCGCCCATCGACGTCCTCCGCGAGCTAGACCAGTGGCTCGGCTTCAACAAGACGTACGCAGAAGTCAAGAAGATCGTCGATGTCATCCTCCAGATGCTCGAGGAGAAGGAGACCGAACAAGTTCCGTCCATCGAGTTCCTCCCCAAGCTCCCTGGCAAGACTCCGTCGCCCAAGAAGACCCCAGCCAAAGCCCGCACACCCAAGTCGCCCAAGTCACCCAAGTCACCCGCCAAGTCACCCAAGACATCTACCCGCGTCTCCAACAAGGGTTCCGTCAAGAAGACTTCAGCAAAGGCCTAGTTCTACCATAGCGTCGCTGCGCCCAGCATCGCGACCACCGTCGCATCATGTCACTCCTTCATCCCATTGCCATTTGCTTTCACGGTCTCTCAGCGGTTGAGCTACCGACACTCTAATATTCCTTTGAGTGTCCTGGCAAAATGCACGCACTACTACCATCTTCACTATGTTCACAGCATCTGCAATTTTCACTCTTTTGATTCACATGTCTGGCACCATCACGACTGTCTTCGCACACGCTATATGCTGTCGCCCCTCATGTATCAGCGTTTTCCAACGCAGGACACAAGACTGTTCGTATGGGCGATGGCCGAACATGTACTTACTCACTCAAGGCATGGGTGTTCTTTTTACTTCTATACCCTCATCTTACGATGGCGACTTGTCTTGTCTTGTCTCTTGCATTATAGGTAGATTTTGGCGGCGTTTAGGCATAGGGTGTTTTTTCTGGGGGCTGGAGTCAGCGTGTGGGCATGAGTTCGGCCTCACTGGGTCTGTGGTATCATAGTTTAGGTTTGGGGAGTTGGGTATATACTACGGTAATCAAATTCAAAGCTCTCGTTAGAAACATGCATCCCCGCATTCCTCATCGTGACATTGACGTTACCGTTACCGTTGACATCGACATTACCATCGACGTTGGCACTCCATGCACTGTCGTCACTCACGTTACACACATCATCTGCAAACTCCCGTTCCTGCATATGCACACTGCACATGCACCATGCATCCCCGGACGGCTATAGCCTCGTCTGCATGTGTGTCACCGATACTGTCTACCGCCTGCTCCGCTGTGGACGCACGCTCTTTGTTGTGTACCTGCATTTTGAGTCAGACTTCGGGGTCGGTCCTTTTTCGTTGTGACTGTGCCGCAGCGCGCTGCCTCGCTTGACTGGTTGGTGAGGCTGGCCCCCTCGTGCAGACGCTTCTCCCCCACATGCAACGCATCCTGCGAGTCGGGCCGAGGGTGTGGCGCGGGTTTGTGTCTCACTGCGGTGTTTTGTCGCGTGATATTAGTGAGCATATGGGGACAGGTATGCTGTGGTGATCGTTGCTGCATTTGCTATGCGAATGTGTTTTCTGACGGACATTTCCGATGGCGTCCGAGGCCAGCGGCATCTCGCTGTGTCTCACTCAGGACGTGGAGGTGAGGGAAACCGGTAATCTAACTCACCTGGCGACACACCTACGTTCACTACACCTCGTGCGAAGTCCAACGACTGTTTTCTACATCATCTACCCCAAGCTCTCAAAGATGGACAGCGACAAGATCGAGCCCTATGGAAACTGGGACGGTCACTTTACGTGGCACGGGAAGTTCATGCGGGAGTATGTAAAGCTAGTCACTCGAAAGTACGACAAGCATGACCCCCGAACTTGGCCTCTGATACACAGGAGTGCTTCAACCGAGACTGGGTTCAACTACGGAAACAGCAAGTTCATCCCAGAATATATGGTCTACGACCAGGCGCTCATGGAAAGAATGGACAAGTGTGATATTCTCCGGATTTCACGAAACAGGACCACAACAGGGGGAAAGAATGGACTCTTCTGTTACTACCCTTTCAACTACGATCGTCATGGTGAACTCCGAAAATATCCGCATATACCTTCTGAAGAGCTCGAGGAGTGGATGAGCAGAACGACCCGCCCGGTACCGACTACACATGAGAAGGCAGACACCGAGAACACGCTTTCCAACGAAGACGCCATAGAAGACAGCTCATCGAAAGCAGCCATTCATGAGATCATGAAGATGCTCGACGATACAGATACAGCGACTACCACCAGAGTGACTGAGCTGGAAGAAGAGCTCGGCGAGACTAGGAAGGAAGTTTTGGAGGCAAACATCAGAGCTGATAGCGCTGAAAAGAGATCTACTCAGATGGGAGAGCACTATCAAGCGGCTTGGAAAGAACGCTCTGTAAAGGCCAAGGAGCTGGTGGATGAACACAGAGAACAGACGCGCAAGCTACTTTTGCAGCAAAGGACCAATCTTAGCAACGCAAAGGCGTTGTTGGCGACTGTAACATCAAAATACGACGAAACGAGAGCAGGAGCCCAGATTGCAGACAAAAAGATCAAAGAGCTCGAGGAACGTCTGGTAAAGGTGGAAAGGATCCACAAGAGGAGTACAGAAGAGGTCGCAAGGCTTAAGGATCAAGTCAAGCAGGGCAACCGAGATACTGCGACAGCACAGCAACAGGCAGCGGCAGCGAAGCAGGAAACGATGGTGGAAAAGCAGCAGATCTTCAGAATTTTGGAAGAGATGAAGAAGAAGAAGCAGGGTACAAGTTTGCAGAAGAAGAAAGCGGAGGACGAAATCGCAGATCCACCGCGAAAGAAGCCAAAGATCGAGGTTTGAGAACTGTGGTCGCAACATGAGGGCTGTGCGTGCGTTTGATCGTGGGACCGGCGTATACTGGTCTTTCCGGAAACAAAAGTTGGGCAACGAGACATCTGGGAGTAGGGTCACCGGACCACCAAATATATGATTGCGTCATATGGGTTTAGCTCGGAAACATCGTGCTTGGGATCCATGGATACTTTATCGCTGCCCCTACCTGGTCCGTGGGACTTGTTGGTAGTGTGGCATCTGTCAGCTCCATATCCCTATCCAATGCTCTTATCTCAATAGATTAACGATCTTGCGGTCAATACGAGAAATATACCAAGGTTCCATGGCAACCAGTGGTGAAGATGGCTCCTGGTGAAGGTGAACGAGGATCGCTTGCCCTCTCACCGCGAATCTCCCAGACTAACCGAAAGGGCGGGAGTTGATCACGACGAGCGACTCCTACAGCTAGCAAAATATCCTCCGTCTCTTCCCATTGACAGCAGCAGCATCACACCCCTCGTTTCGCGTTAGAAACTTTCAAGGTAGGTCAAGTATGGGCGTCAGCGCAGCACAAATGGCTAACACGGCCGCGACGCGAGATGGCACCTCTGCCGCGTTATGAGGGTACCTTCAGCTTCGTCTCTTCGAGGCTGTATGCGAGCATCAAGCGCGTCATCCCCAACTACGACAAGGACGACCCAAAGACCTGGCCATATGTCACTCTGTCAACAATCGAAAAACTCCGCCCTTACCATGGATATCCGGATCTGCCTACAGGCGTAGCCTACCAACGAGAAGCGATGAAGCGATACGAATCCATGTACACACCGCAAGAGCGAGCCATCGCCGCCTCCGTAAACGGTCCCTTGCATCAGCGGTACCCATACAACTACGACCGATTCGACGAGCCGAAAGAGAAGGTCGGTATGTCGGGGGCGGAGTATCGGAGCTACATGGCGAATACTACACCTATGCCATCTACACCACGCGAGCGCAAGCGCGAAGAATGGGAGCAAGACATCCCCGACAGCGCAATCGATTGCAACACACCTCCAGGTGGACGTATGGAGAGCGCATCCCCCACCCCAGCCACCCGCACCCAACCCCCCTCCCGCTGCACCAACAAAACCTGCACCGACACCCGCCGCGAAGCCGCCAGACTCCGCGGCTCCCTCTTCGACAAAGACTCCCAACTCCTAAGCTGCCAATCCGACCTCAAAGAATACGAGACAACCGAGAAGTTGCGGCGACGAGCTTTGGAGGACGCGGAATACGAGGTCGAGAAGGAGAAGCGGCGGGCTGATGCTGCGGAGGGGGAATGCATGCTGCGTATGGAGGGGAATATCAGGTTACAGCAGCGCGTGAGGGAGTTGGAGGGAAGGGTGAAGCAGGCGCAGGATTTGGATGGGTATTGTGTTGAGTTGGAGGGGGAGATTGAGAGGTTGAATAGGGTGCGGGAGGGGGAGGGGGAGGAGTCTGATGATGGTGATGATGATAGACTGCGCAAGAGGATGCGGTCTGAGAGTTTGTAGGAGGTCGCATGCATGACTGTCGCGATCGCGTTCTCGCGATGCATGACTGCCGCGGAGACGCCGCACACGCGAGGTTTCGGCAGCGCTAGCCTGTTACGTCGCGAACGCCTTCCCCGCTCAATGCGTCATTGTCGTCAAGTGTCAAGAGTAGCTATAAACTCCGCTCTGCGTCACTCGATTAGGCAATACATTTGCTCTGACATCGCTCTGGACCGATGCACTGATTCTGAATTTGTCAGACCACGCCCTACAGCTACATCTGCATTAGTACACGACGCGAGAAGAGAGTTGTGTGACTAGTACACTGCAGAAAAAGACCTCGTTGGGAGGAACACTTGCAGTTTACCTACCTTCCTGAGGCTCTACGCAAGCCGTATAATCTTGACTGCTCGTAGCACAGCCAGCAACATGGCACTCCCAGCCACTACGCAGGTCGCGATTGTGCTATCGATCTTCGTCTTACCCATTCTCACATACATCTATTTCAACAAGAACCAGCAAGTAGAGAGCAATGCTGGGCCTTTGCCAGCAGCGACAGAGATTACAGGGCTCTTCATACACCCCATCAAGTCATGCCACGGCATCAGCGTAAAGTCGGCAAAGCTGTTGCCAACGGGTCTTGATCTCGGTGCGCCTTTATTGTCAGATCGAAGAAATATAGCATGCTGACAGAGCCAGATCGTCAATGGATGTGGGTGAGCTACCCAAACTACGAGTTCCTGACGATCCGCCAAAACTCCAAGATGACACTGATCCGACCAACCTACGACGAGAAGACTGATACCCTTACCGTTACCGCGCCAGCGCCAAATTCGGTCGATGAGAAGCTGGAGTTCTCAATCCCGGCTCATCCATCTAAGGAATGGCTCGACGAGAATACCGAAGAGCACTCGGCAAAGATATGGAGTACTACAACGGGAACCCGCGTGTACTCTACGAAGATGACCGCTCCCTTCAACAGCTTCTTCGATAAGGAAGTCCGGCTCGTGTATAAGCCCCCTGTTTCCGAGGACCCCAGACCTCTAGTATCGAACGGTGCACCAGCTGTCCTAGGAAGAGACGCATCGACCTGTTTCCCCGACCTGATGCCCGTGCTCGTCGGCAACCAATCCAGCATCGACGAACTCAACACGCGTCTCAAAGCTGCAGAAGGCCTTACAATCGACGTCCGCCGCTTCCGACCCAACATCCTCGTCAAGGGCGATGCCAACGCGCCCTGGGATGAAGATCGCTGGAAGACGATCAAGATTACGCCTAATGCTGGTGACAAGCCGATCGTTCTGGATATCACCCAGCGATGCGCGCGCTGTCAGGTGCCTAATGTACATCCTGATTCGGCGGAAAAGCACAAGACGCAGCCTTGGGATGCGTTGATGAAATATAGGAGGATCGACGAGGGGATCACATACAAGCCCTGCTATGGTATGCTCGCTGTGCCGAAGTCAGTGGGGGATCTCAGGGTTGGCATGAAGTTTGAGGTTACTGAGGTTACGGATAAGCATCGGTATATCGCTGGATTCTAGGGGGTGGAGCTTGACGGATCGTGTCGATGAAGCCTTACTGGCTGCTGCGTATATGGGGAGTCTGACCGAATGCCATCACAGCGCAAGCCATTGCGACACAGTTGTCGTACGACTCTCCACAAACGTTGTACGGATGATCAGATCAGCACACAATTTCTCTGCTGTCAGCCTCGAAAATCAAAAGAAGCTAGCTGTAAGCTGCCCGATTTAGCCTTTGGAAGATCGTAGGTGCATCGATTTGCAGCTCCTGAAATCTCTTCAGATGATTGTTGGAGATGTTGCCCAAGCTACAGCAATCATAAGCGGATCCCCACGTAGTTCACATGCGCACAGCCATGTGCAGCGGCAATTATGACGAAGGTTCCTGATGATCCATCGGATCTGCAAAGCAAAGACTGCCGAAGCGGCTCCGCCTCTAGCCCGCGTTGAGATTAGCGACGCGACGCGACAGACAGGGGTACACCTATCATCGTGTCCATGGCTGACTTTCTCTTGAACTCAACTTCCTTCTACCAAATGTAAGGACTACACGCAAGACGTTTCCAGCATGTTTCGCACAGTTATGGAGATGGCATGGCGCGCGCGTGCAGAATGGCAGCGGCATTGTTTCGAAACAGAGAACTGCAACTCAGTGGAGATTACGCGCGTTCTTGATCGGACCGTGACGTGTGACGACGACTATCCGTGTTGAGACCCTGGCGTTTGGGACGCAGGGACACCAGACGGAAGGCACACAGAGGGGATACAGAAAGCGCGTCCCACCTGGCCATCGACCAAGTATGACCACTTCCGCTTCGAGCGAGGGAGTCACAGGTCGTCGAATCGCTCTTTCCTTTCCACACCCACCATGGCAGGCGATGCAATGCTGGCATTGCCAATGTCTCCGACACAGTCGCCCAAAGAGTTTAGAAGTGCCGCCGTGCAATGGGCGTGCACGCGAAGAGGGAGGATGATGGTCTTGACGATTGCACTTCTCACGGTTCTGCTTGGACTGACGGGTATGAGGAACCATGAGGTACGTTTAAACTGCTACAGACACCAGAGAAGACGATGTCGAGATATGCGACATACCCCTCCAGAACTGAACGTCATCAGCGAGGTCCAAGCTAACTCCAACAGGCCATATCTTCACGATACCACAACTTCTCCTCGTACTACCCATGGCGACCGTATCTCCAGCCCCTGCCCGACATCGTACACTCGCCGTTCAAGACCCCCTCGAACACGACGCTGCAGATCGAGAATGGCGAACTCGACCACGTCCCGCCGAAACTCAAGAAGACGACGCCGAACTTCCACCTCCTCATGCCTGCCGAGCGCGACACCGACGGCTTCTGCAAGACGACTCTGTCTGCTATGCTTCTCCACTACCCTCCACCGACTGCGGTACAGCTACAAAAGCCATATGAGTCGGACATCAAGTGGGACAGGGACACACTGAACAGCACGCTGCATTACCTGAGTAATGAGAAGCTGGTGAAGGACCATGACTTGGTTCTCATCGTGGACGGACAACAGTCGATGTTCCAACTGCCGAGCGATGTGATTGTCACACAGTACAAGAGGCTGTTGGCAGACGCCAACATGCGGCTGCTGAAGAAGTATGGCGTTAACAAGGAGGGCTACCAGAAGTTCAACCAGACGATCGTGTTCGGTGCAGAAAAGATCTGTGAGAACGATGACATGGCGTGCAAGTACGTGCCCCAATCGATCCTATCGGACAATACATACGGAAGCGAGAACGGTCGACGCATATCAGATACCCCGGCGAAGTTCATTCACTCCAAGATGGTCATGGGTCCGGCCAGCGACTTGAAGATGCTTTACCAGTTTGCTCTGGAGAAGTTCATGGAGGGGAGAAGTCAGTCGCAGACGGTACAGTCGGTATTCGCGACTCTCTTCGCCGAACAGCAGCTGGGCAGAGATGCGGAGGAAGTGGCATCGAAGCATACGGGTACCAAAGTCAAAGAATACCTCACGGGCAGAGCGAGCACGTCAGAAGCCAAGCGAAGACTGGAGCATGCCAGCGCTGAGTTCTCGAACACTACACGTCATGAATTTTCTGCTGGTTTGGACTATACCCACGCGCTCTTCCAACCCTTGGACTACTGCGTCGAGGACGAACTCGCGCCTCTTCTACACGACAACTCGACCGACTTGTCGCAATACAGTCGCTCCGACTCAGACTCCCGTTACCTGTCCCTACCCACTGCCCTCAACGAGACCAAGACCCCATTCTGGCGCCCTGACTTCGTCGAGCACAACCCGTCTCCCAATGAGAAGCCAGCATACATTGACAATCTAGAGTTTACGTTGGAGCTCGATGGCTTGCCCAGCCGGAAACTACCTTGGGAAAACATTCCCTTGATTCAGAACACATACACCGGTTCCGTTCCCGCTATTATCCTTGGCAGCTCCTCGCACTCCAGCGGCGAGCGTCCACCAGCCGCCAACATAACCTGGGATAACTTGTGGTACTCAAACCACAAACGCGCCATGCTGAGAAACTACTTCCGCGCGCCTCAGTCTTCAGACGGATACCACAACCACCTCGTCGGTGGCGATCGCTACTGGGACAACCGCGGCGGACGAGGCGGCATATGGACCGAAGCCGAACAAACCTGGCTACCCTGGGGCGAAGTCGATGGCGTTTGCGGCACGCTACCCCAACTCAAGGAAGTCTTCAACGATGACAAGGGCGTGTGGCTCCATGAGCTCGAGCAGGATAACGAGCAAGGCCGCCTCAACGAACAAGAGGAGCATCGGCAAAAGCAAGAAGAAGCGCGACTTAAGGATATCGAAGAGTTGGTCAAGTTGGAACAAGAGGCTAAAGAGAAGAACGAGCAGAAGGAGAAGGAGAGCATTGACTTTGAGAAGCTGAAGGAGCTTCAGGATTTGGAGGCTGGAGAGGAGAAGAAGGTTGAGAGGAGGAGGAAGAGGTGGAATGTTGTGGAGGAGTGTGTAAGATATTGTTAGTGGGTGGGGTTTCTTTTATCTGTTATATATCCCGGGCTTTCCGCCGTCTTTTCTTTTCTGTTTGTTTGATAGTTCATGCCTTTTCAGGTGCAATCTCATGATGTTTCTCGATTTTGGTAGTGTTGTTAAGTCGCTTTCATCGTGTCACTTGCGGTCTTGGTCAGAAGCGCCGGGTGTCATCTGGGCAAGCCATATATGCCTGGCTGACCTGCTCCTTACTGATATAAACGACAGACCCTGTCTCAGTTGCTTTAACAAATCAACTATGGCTAGCGAACCCTACGTGGAGATCTTCATCGACACACTCAGTTTCCTGTCGCTTGAGGACGCATCTTCGAATCTTCATGTCGAACTTGTTCGAAGAGACGAGGGAACTGCCACTGATGCCGAAGCACTGGAATCAGCCATGCGCGCAACTGTCAAGCGATACTGGAAGAATGGCGTAACCCTGGATTTGGACTCTTGTCGTTTGAAAGTGAACGCCTACGTCCCACAGACGAAGGCCGGTGCTGTGGATCCAACGGCCAAGTTCAAGGAAGTCGTAGCTGGACTTCAAGACTGTAAAATCGTGTCCGTAGATGGACGCGCAGGTCTAGTTCGAGCTCGCGACGGTAAGCCAATACCACTGACAACGGAGTACTTGATATGACTAACAATAGCTTTACGCAGAGAGATTGGCTACATCAGTCGATGACAAGGAGTGCAGATTCATCCTTGTAGCTAGCATGACCACACCAGGACTACTGTTCCTCAAAACGGACCACCAGAAAAAGACCATACGATATCTACCCGGCTACGTCCCACTCAACGCTTCCAATCAGCGTATCGACACACCCATCATATCGGCACCGACAGCACCCTGTTTCGACGAGCTTAAAGCTCATGTAGACGGGAACGGGGGCCAGCGATGCTGCAACAACTTCCATCTGGGCTCCCACGGATGTGATGATGTGGAATGTCCGTTCGATCATAGCGATATCAGCGAAAACATGATGAGCGTCTTGCGTTTCATATGTCAGATAAAGCCTTGTCTAGATGGCGCTGCTTGTCGGAGAATTCACTGCTATTTTGGACATGCCTGTCGTTTTGGACATGCTTGTCATCGGGATGACTGCGGAGGCAAGCATCCAAAATGCAAGTTTCGAGACGGGGAACATGGGGTTGACCAGACGATTCATCATTGGGAGATGGGGAGGCTACATTATGATATATGCGTTTAGTATGCTTGAGTGAAAGGACAGACAGGGCGAGAATGGGTGGGATATGTCACGAGACGACGTTGTGGGTGTGCTGACATCTGGGGTGGGTTTGATAGGGCTTGGAGCATCTCAAGTAGTTCTGGGTATACGGCAGAGTGGATACGTAGGGTAGGCAACTACAATAACCACGTTTTGCAACAAGCGAAAGACCTCCGAGGATACGTTGCTACCCTGGTTGGGAAACAGAAAGAGTGAGGTATCCTAAAAATCCTCAAAAGAAGTTCAGTTGATACCATTAGGAGAGACATGACTGGCCAACCCACTTAACTCAACCACGGAAAGACATGAGCAATATGCCACAACACCAAATTGACACCAAATATATATTTGACATGCCGCACATACTTCTAAGCAACACAGATTTTCTCAACTCCAAAACTTCTCACTACCACTGCTCCAACTAAAACCGTCAAGCACCACCGTCGCCACTTTCTGAAATGTCCACCACACCACCCAAAACCGGCCTGCCCACCACCCGCCGCCTACACACCCCAAATTTCTCCACGACCCCTCTCCACGCAGAAGCCCTGTCAAACATCTACGCCCCCATCAGCAAAAATCTTTTCCTCTCCAAACCTCCCTCCTGGAAAACAGACTCCGTCGCGTCGCCCCCAAAATGGAAGGGCGAAAAACACATTTTCAAAGACTCCGCTTACTACACCCTCGACCCCCGCGGCATACTCCCCTCTAAAAAGATGCAAGCAGCGGGCCTTGTCGAAATGCCCTTCCAAGCCCCCTCCACCTTCCCCCGCCTTCTCATACGCCCGACGGAATACCGCGACGGCCCCGTATACCCTCAGTTTGGGGATTTCCGCATCGATAAATTGGTTCGGTATGGGAAGTCTAATGTGCAGGCTAGTTGCTCTTCCATCGGCACTAGCTGGGCTAGGAAACGTATTCAGGGAGCGGGATTAGTACCGGAAATGGGCAACATACTGTCGAATCCGCAGATCAGGAAAGAGCAGTTTCCGGCGCCGTTTTGCGAGTTGCCGGATGAGCAGTTTAGGATGTGGTTTGTGAGGAATATGGGGATGGTGGGGTGGGGGGCTTGGGAGGCGGGGGTTGAGGCGGAGAGGGTGTTGGTGAGGAGTGAGGTGGAGGAGTTGACTGTTGTGGTTGAGGAGAAGGAGGAGGCGGAGAGGTGCTTGAGGTGTCCTTTGGCGAGAGAGATAAGGGTGAGGTTGGGTGAGATAGAACGGAGAAAGAAGGAGAGACGGCAGGGCAAGATTCAGAGGGCGGTGGAGAGGAAGAGCAGGTGTGAGGAAGTGAGGGATGATGTGTCACTGTCGACAACGGAGGAGGAACCTGTGAAGCAGGGAATATATCCCGTCGAACGACGCGGAAAGTTGAGTTGGATAAAGAACTTCTTTTGGTGGAGCTGGTTCCCATCCTCCCATCCTAGCATCCATCCTACATAGCAACGCAACCAACCCCTTACATAACCTTCGGCTGACTCTCCGCAAGCTTAATCTTCCCCGCCTCATCATAAACAATCTCCCTAATCTTAACACACCGCAGATGATTAACCCCCTTACTCAGACTGCTATCATGGTAAAACAGATACCACCTCCCCTTGAACTCCGCAATACTGTGATGCGTCGTCCACCCAATCACCGGCTCCAGAATGCGTCCTCCGTACGTAAACGGTCCAAGCGGGCTCTCTCCAATCGCATAGCACAAGAAATGCGTGTCGCCAGTCGAGTACGAGAAGTAGTACTTCCCATTATACTTGTGCATCCACGCCGCCTCGAAGAACCTCCTGTCGTGGTCCGCAGCCTGGATAGGCTGACCCGCCTCGTCGAGGATAACAACATCCTTAACATCCGAGGTGAAAGTCGTCATGTCATCCGACAGTTTCGCTACCTTCGCGCAGAGCGCCGGTCCGGACGACGCCTCCATACTCTCATAGTCCTCGCGGACAAACTTGCCCGTCTTCCAACACTGCAACTGCCCACCCCAAATCCCGCCGAAATACAAATACGCCTCCCCATCCTCATCCACAAAACTCGCGGGATCAATACTGAAACTGCCCTTGATAGGTTCAGCCTCCGGCTTAAACGGCCCCTCAGGCTTATCGCCACTCGCAACGCCAACGCGGAAGATACCCTCCTTATCGCGGGCTGGGAAGAAGAGATAGTATTTCCCGTTCTTGGATGCGGCGTCAGGGGCCCAGAGTTGTTTTTGCACCCAGGGTATGTCTTCTTGCTTGAGGGCTACGCCGTGGTCCGTGACGGGGCCGCCGACTTCTTCCATGCTGAAGACGTGGTAGTCGTTCATGTCGTATTGGTCGCCGTTGTCGTTGTCGGCAATGTCTGTCTCGCGGTCGTGCGAAGGGTAGACGTAGAGTTTGCCATTGAAGACGTGGGCCGAGGGGTCTGCGGTGAAGACGTGGGTTACGATTGGTTCTTTGTCTGCCATGATTGTGTGGTTTTGTATGTATGTATGGGTTTCAGTTGATTTGGTTGATGTTGAGAGAGATAATTGGATTGAACTGAAAAAAAGCAGCAATGTTATATAGCTATACGTTGCCCTTCCCCATGGGCCCTTATGAATGGAGGGGTAGTCTGCCCCACGATGGCCGCCAGCCGCCCTGCTATTTACCCGGCGGGACGGCTATCCTGAAGCCAAGCAAATTGCAGTTGGATCCAAGACGGTCATACCACTTAGTATTGCTCAATCGCGGTACAATGGTGTCCGCTGTGGATGAAGAGATGGATGGAAGTTCGGCGTGCTGTTTAGCCGTCTATTCTTCCGCCCGCACAAGCGCGTGCTTCTAGTGCTAACTGCTAATCTGCCTCGGGTCGGCGGGCGTCATGCGCTGCAACCGCGGGAGTCAAGTTCGCGCAAGATGCAGATCCAGGGTGCGGGTGACATGCAGGGTAAGAAGTTGTTACGTGTATCCAAAGATGACTTTGTAGGGTTCCTGCTTTTTTATACCACGACCGATATCTATATTATTACAATTACACATCCACAACCGTGAAGACATCCAATGACGTCGCAACCTGGAAGCTGCATCAGGGGTATTAAATGCTCAGCCCAAACGCCATCGCTACCCAAGAACGTGATATTTCTTCTTCCTCGACAACAGTGGCTGGGGTTTCGGCGCACTTCTACCTGTCAAGATCTCGATACCACCGTCCATATTCGGCGGACTGCGTGCAGCAGTGCGAAACGCGCTCGAGATCCTCATACCAAGAACTGAACTAGACGTGCGTCGGCGCGAAGTTGCCACATGCGTAGGAACGGACTGCGTCTCTTTCAAAGTGAACTCCTGCAGCTCTTCGACAACGTCATGAAGGTCCCGGCGTCTGCCCTCTCCTTGGCAACGGGCCGCTCTAGGACACGTCAGCACACCTGCAAACTCAAGCAAGCGACAAAGCGCCAGGCTCAGGTCTGTAGGGTCTGGTACAACTTCATGGTCTTGTTCCGCACATCTGCACACTGCTGCAGTGCAGTGATATGCTTTTCTTGCGCGAGCTTCCATGTCTCCATGACACTCTCGTCCTCTTCCATCTTAGCCATGTAGCTCGCAAACCCAATTCCCCTGGTGGTCTCGCCGCGCTGGTGGATGAAATGATGATCCAAGTCTTCCATCTCGCTGCTCCGCGCAGCAAAGTGGCTAGTAAGGGTTTGACAGTAGGCTCTGTAGGATTTGACATAGACGCCCATGTGGTCAAAGTACGTGTTTACGGAAGCCATATCCAGCTTGGTAGGTGGAATAGGTGCACGAGGTATGTCTGGATACTTGAGATTCTTTGCAGCGTTTGCCTTGATGGGATGTGAGCTGGATGCGCCGGAAGGGAAAGGGAGAGCATCCATTACAGATCCCAAGCCGGAAAGTCCGTTGTTTTGAGGCTCCACGACCGGATTGATCATGTCTGGACCAAGACCGTTCAGTCCTTCGGCTGGTGGTTTTGCAGTGGTCGCAGAAGAAGGTGCAGTAGCAGAGCCATTCGGCGTCGCCCCTGCACCTGCCGTATTCAATCTCGGTGATGTACGCGTTCCCTTCTTTGCAGGCTTCGCGCTTGGTGGTGGGACAGGGTCGATATCCATGGCATCTACATCACCATTTGCTGGCTCTTCTGCAAAGGCCTGGTACTTGGACCTCGCTGAGTCGGTTGATTCCTGCGGCTTCGACGCTCCGTTTTGCTGTACCGAAGCCTTTCGCGCAGCCTTTGGACGTTTCGTAGCCTCTGATGGTCGACGCGGCGATGTCTCCTTCTCCTGGTTGTACACCCAGTTCGGATCTTTGAACGTCTCTTGCCAGGCTTGAGGACTGAACTTGGCAGTGTGTGGCGCCATCTTGGGTGGGGCGAAGTTGACACCCGGTGGTGGTCCCGGTGGAGGAGGAGGTATTGGCTGTCCGTTGGGCGCAACGGGAGGCGGGTCCATCGGCCGCGTGCTGAAGGGGTTGCGGTCTGTCGCATTTCGCTGTGATCTGCCGCGGGTTGGAGAGGCTCGGCCTTTTCCGTTGGCACCTTTTTGCATGTTAGGAGCAAAGTAACTGCCACTGCCTTCGAACTTGCCATGCCAGTCCGAAGGCGAGAATTTCAAGTTGATGCTTTCTTCACTCCTGCTCTTGAAGCTGTTGGGTATGTTCCCTGGCACGCCGTTGCTCTGTCGTTTCGGATCAGGAGTCGTGAAGTTACCTTCTGACCAGGTTGGCGGAGGCGGTCTTGTGGTTTGAGGTGGTGGAGGAGGGTCACGGTGCTTGTTGCCAATGTTGGACGCTTCCGAGTCGGATTCTTCGTCGCTAGAGTCGGGATATCCATGAGCGAATGGGTTCGGCTTCGCGCTGGCCTTCTTCCCTTGTGTTCTGCGACCCGAGTCTGAGAAGGCGCCCCCATCTTGCGAATAACTCGCTCGGTGCGAGTGTGTGGGTGAGTTGCGCACACTGGACGACCGTCCAAGGCCTTCGAACATGGAGGTACGCTCGCCTGCTACATGGGAGTGATATGGTGTGCGAACGCGGTTGGCCTCTGAGTATGGGACGTCGTCGGCATGGCTATCCATATCAGGAGTCGTGGACATGGGTGGGGTTGGAGCCGGACGGGCATAGTTCCTATACGCTGACCGTGCCTGGCCTTCATCGACGCCTGGTGTTGATGGGTCAAATCCAGTCTTGGACGATGGGACCCTGGTGCTCTGACTGCGGCCAAAGGGGGTGCCATTGGGGTTGTTCTGCGGATTGGTATGCGGACTGCTCTGGGCGCTTGGGTTGTGCTGCCGAGGGTCCTCACCCCGTGGCTGCTTCATCTTCTGCCATGCCGTGAAGACGTTCGCGCGAGCCTCTGCATCCCTGGCCTTTGTGTCCGGTCGTTGCGCTGTTGGTGGCGCGCGGAAGTTCCTGCCCGAGAACCTGTCCGCACCGGTGTTGTATGTGCTGTGGTGTTGCTGCGGTGGGGGAGGGCGCTGGGCTTGCGGCTGCGGTTTCGGCGGAGGTGCGCGATAGTACGAGCCTTGTGGGGTGGTTGTCGTGTATGCATTTCTCGGAGGCGGCGGCGGTCTCGTTCGCGGCGTGTTCGGAGTGTGACCAGGAGCAGATACATTGCGGTATTTCCTTCTATCGGCGTCGTACTTGGCTCGTAGGTTGGCATCGCATAGTATCTCGTGTGCGGCCTGAATCTCTTGGAAGCGGACGACGAATTCGGCTTCGCGCCCGGGGTTTCGATCTGGGTGGTACTGTAGCGCCAGCGTTCGGAAAGCCTTGCGGATCTCGTTCTCGCTGGCCGTCGGGGATACCTTCAGGTCGGCATAGTAGTTTCGCGTGGCATCAGCTTTGACCATGGCGGCGGTATTGGCGAAGAGACGGGAGTGAAGAGGCTGGCGAGAGGTTGCACAGTGCGCGCACTCTGCCCTTGTAGGCAGCTCTAGTCGTCAAGCAGCCTGGTGGGGGTTGCCCGTTGACTGCCTTGTCGTGTGGCAGGGCAGTGCTGCTCAGATGATGCTGGCTGCGCGTGGACGTCGGAACATGGTAATGGAAGCTGAACCACGGAAGCTGCAAAAGTCTGGATTAATCACTCTGTCAGCCGCATGTCGTCAGTGTTGCAGAGAGTGTGGTTACCCTTTGCGTCTATTGGAGCTGCAGTCGCTTGTTGCGCTGGCGAGGTGCTCTGCATGTGTTTTGGGCTGATGTTTTGGCTGAGAGGGGCCTACGGCAACGCTTAGCAACGCCCGACCTGGCCACGAGAAGAACCCTGTATTAATTCCTTCTGGGCTCTCGAATGTCATCTATGTCGCAATCATCCAAGCACGCACGGAAACGGTCACAGCGAGTACAGCGCATTAATCTTGGTTTTGCCGTACGTCTGACGTCGATGGTGCAGCTGTCTTACCAATACCGGTACCGGTCAGCCACCCATGTGAAAGTCCTGTATTCGTTCTTGGCTATAGCAAGGCATACTCGCTCCTCCGAACATGGTCAATACAACGCCTTCCTCAACCGCAGCAGCGTCTTCACATTTGATCCCCGACATTTCACATTGCAATAGATAAAAACTGAAGTGTTGTCTTCGTAAAGATCATGAATCCGGTATGATTTTGAAAGTCCTGACAGCTTTTTTGCTGCTAGGAAGCTACGTAGCCCAGGACACCCTATGCCATTCACGCCAGCCCATACGCTGAAAACAATCGACCAGACGTTGCACCAAGCACACCATATGCTCAATGCATTTAACGGTAGCGCCAGAGGGAGAGGGTGTTGTGCCTCTTCCAGGTCTTCCTCCTTCCAGCAGTGGTGTTGTTGAACTTGTGTCCACGGCCGAGACCACGGCTCTTCTTGCCGGTGGCGGTGAGACCACGAGCCTCGCGGTGCTTGTGGACGGCCTTTGTGATCCAGTTGATGCGAGGATCGCGGCGGATGGCCTTGTGCTGGGGGTCGACGCAGATGACCTCGTAGTACTTGTAGGTCGAGTCCTGGTTGATCCAGTAGGAGTTGAGCACGCGCAAGTTGGCGCAGCGGCGGCCGATACGCTCCTCAGCGGTGGACTTGAGAGAGCGCTGGTACTTGAGCTGGTTGATACCCTGGTTGGTAGGCTTTCCTGTTCGATTGTCAGTTTTTTGTTCCATAGCAATTCGGTTGCGTGTTGCGTACCGTAGGTGGCGCCCCTAGAACATAATGTTAGCATAGTCCTCTTGTTCAAGATGACGATTGCACGTACTTGGGAGCCTGCCTCTTGCGACCTCCACGGCGGACGCGGATGCGGTAGATAACGTAACCCTGCTTGGCCTTGTATCCGAGACGGCGGGCCTTGTCGGGGCGCGAGGGGCGGCTTGCGCGGTGGATGACCTTAAGTTGGCGAAGCTATCGATGCACTCTCAGCAAAGTTCAACGAGTACACCAATTGAGACATGGGTCTCGGGATAATCATACCTCCCAGCACTGTTGCAATGTTAGCAGAGTCCTTTGTCCAGCTCAATCGGTTGTACGTACGCGAACGCGCATCAAGAAGCGCATCATGTCCGACTGCTTCTTCTTCTGAAGTTCTTCGACATCTACGGCGGATCAGCTACGAGCGGGCAATTGCGGTGTTCGGTGTGCGCTTACACTTGAGGGCACCCATCTGCGGTATTGTTAGTATAGAGTCGACGAGATTCAGCAATATCGGAGGGACATACCTTGACTGTTGGTTAGTAGATTGTCGACGCTGTCGTGCTGGAGGTTGCGAAAAGATGATACGACAGGTATTTCGCACTGTGTGGGCGGGGCCGTGCGAGGCGCTAGCTTGACGAGGAATCGCGCAAACTGACACGAGTCGGTCAGAAGAACATGGCCCCGCCGAGCGTGACGGAGGAGATGGGAACACCAAATTTCGAGACAAGTGCGAAGGCAGTTTTCCTGCGAGCTGTATGTATGTGACGAGAGTAGAGTGATGAAGCTTTCATATCTGGTGTCTTCCCATGAGCAACGCTGTGAGGTCGCTCTTGCGCGGGTCGGACGCTGGTGTTCTGCTCTGTTCGATGTATGATCCGAATTAGGAAGTTCTTCAAAACCCGTCGATCGCTGGTGTCTGCATTGTTACCACGAGTTGTCTGAACCATCGCCATGCCCATGCACTTCATGCTCGTGCCCACCCACACATCGCCTTGAACACCACAATAGCGCTCATACCTAGCAGCCATCCCTTATCGGCAATCCCTTGACCATCCTCTTAACACCCCTCTCCGCATACCTCAGACTCTTCTGCAGCCCATAGTTCAGCTCAACCTTCTCGCCTCCCTCCATATCCACATCGCCATCTTCGTCTGTCATCACAGAGTCCTCCACATCAGCCCCCAGCACCTTCTTGACATTCCTCAGCGCAACTCTCGCGCCCTTCTTGAGCTGCTTGTCCGTGTCCTCGATGTCCTGCTTCCATGTGTCTGCGATAGTGTCGGGCTGCTCTTCTCGTAGTTTCGCAATCATGCCGTCTAGTCTCTGGTATTCGTTGACGAGGACCTCGGATGCGCGTAGGACGCTGGTGACGGAGGTGTAGACTGCGTTGCCTGCGATTTGTGTGCCTGCGAAGGTTTCGGGCTCGCCCTTTGCTGGTCGGTTGGGGGTTTGCAGGGCTTCGAAGAGGGTGGAGGTGAGTTCTTCGCGACGGCGCTCTTCTTCCTTCTCGCTACAGTAGCTGTTAGAGTAGCTTTGCAGATGATGAGGGATTGACTCACGCTTGGAGCTTTCGCTGTGCTAGTAGTGCGTTGTACTTCTTCTGATCGGCATTTATCGTGGCGCGGAATTCCTGCATCTGGGTGTCATCTTTCTTTGGCTTCTCGAGAAGACGACTGAGTGAAAGCATTTGCTGGCTCTTAGGCGCGGGTGAGGCATGTCGGCGCGCCATGGTTGAGACGATAGGGTTGGTATGTGAAAAGGTGAAATGATATGGCAGATTGGTGAGGAAGGTGCCACCCGGTGTCAATATTTGAGGTAGGCGTGAAGGCGACATCACATTTTTAGTTTACAGAAAAATCCTGAAATACAGGCCGGGAGGTACTCAACCAGCCCACGGGCTTCAGGGATTTTATCTCTGGGGTGCCGGGAGGTAGCCAAGGTGTTGAAACACTTCACGAAAATTAGGCCAGGAGGTATTCAGTGATTTTGGCAGGGTCATCTCAAACCCGATATATAGGCCTGGCAGATACCACAACATTCACAAAAGACAGTTTTTTGGTGCCAGAAGCATTCTCATTTCGCCATTTAGGCATGATATATAACTAAAATACACGCATTCATGGGGAATTTTTGGTGGTGAAAGCAAGAAAAATCAAGAAAAATCAGGAAGGGGAAATGACTTGCCTCACCGGGCAGTCTACATAAGCCTTGGAATCGTAGGTGAAAGGAAAATGAAGAGGAAATACCATATAATGATCAAAACCCGAAAAGAAACCTTGAAGACAACTTGACCTGACAGTCCATTCTGTCTTCAGTTACCGAAAGACAAGTTGTGCATAGCACCATTCAAGGTGCTGTCAGCGCCAGTGTTGGGGCGACCACGTCCTCCTGAGGCGCCATAGTATCCTCCAGGAGCAGCTGAGGTGTACTGGGCATTGGCGTAGGCGTTGGTGTAGCCACCGCCAGAAGAGTACGAAGTGCCGCCGTTGTACGCGTTATGATGCTGATGACCGAAGGCGTGGCCGGTACTGGAGGTGTAGTTGCGGGAGGCAGCGTATCCAGCAGTAGTTGTAGCAGGCCCATACCCTCCACCGTATGACGAAGTGTAAGTCGAAGGTGGATAGTAGGCTCCAGCTCCATAGTTCATCGGGCTGCCGCTCGCAGTGACGTTGGGGTAGTAGTTACGGTACATCTGCTGCTGCATCTGCTGACCGTGGGCCCAAGGCTGCATGTTGTATGAGGGCTGGGTAGGGTAGGCCGGGATCTGGTGGGAGAACGCGTGGAAGCCGTCATCGTAGTTACCGTAGTTGCCCTGGGTGCGAGCTTGACCTGAGCGATAGTTAGCAATCATACACACGTAGCAAGGAGACGACGATGGACTTACCGTACTGCTGGGCCGGGCGGTGAGTGTTGGAGCCAAAGCCAGGGCCGACAGAGGAAGAGGCATTACCGTTGTTGGATGTGATGATAGCACCAGGACCAATGGCAGAAGGCGGCGGGATCTGAGACATGCCGGCAGGGTTGACGACGGAGGCAGGGTTGACAGCCGACATCCAGATGCGCACCTTGTACTGCTTGAACAGGTCGGTGACGAGCTCGTTGAAGTTGACATACGACTCGGCGTAGTAGAAGTAGGTCAGCTTGTGGTAATCACTGAAGATGTTAGTATGATGAGAGCAACATGAACATGTTTGACTTACGCCTGGTACTCGGCATCGAGGATCTCCATAGGCAGCTTGTGGTCAGCGGCCTTCTGAGCTCCGAGACGCTTGGCCTTGGCCTCTCCACCCTCCTTCTCACGTAGCGCAGAGATCTCATGGGCCTGAGCGAGACGCTTGATCATCTTCGGCTTGAACGGTTCAGGCTCTCCCGAAGCAGTCACTGGGGTGCGGCTCATGGGGTTCGGGAATCCGTTAGCACGGGCGAGGGCGCCCAGCATGCCGGAGTCGTTCTGGGTGCCGGCCAGGGAGTACTGAGAGAACATGACGAGCCAGCGGAAGTGCTCCTCGTTGGCCTCAACCTTGAGCTTCTTAGCCTCCTCCATGGTCAAGTCGGCATGAGTGATCTGGCCCAGGTCGCATCCACGGTCGCCTTCGGTGATGACAAGGTCGCCACGACGGATCTCGAGGCCGGTGTTGTCGTAAAGGTAGTAGATGTCGGCACGAGAGCACTTGAAGGTGACAATGTACAAGCGGCGAGTGGGGTTTCCGATTCTAGGAGGGACCGCGTAGGGGTTGCCAGCAGACATGGCCATGTTGGGCACGACAGGATCGGGGTGAGCTGCCGAGATGGCGGAGGAGTTGATAGCGCGCGAGGCCGGGCCGTAGCCAGTGAAGTAGGCAGAGGCGTCGAAGGGCTCGTCGTCCTTGTTGCCACGTGGGCTCTGGCGGGGTGAGACGTACTCCTCCTCTTCTTCCTGAGTGTTGCTCAAGGTGGAGAGGGGCATGGCTGAGTTGTAGCTACCGTAGTGGGCGAACGAATGACGGCGGCCGAGGGGGTCCATCTCAGCAGGTGAGATGTTGCCTGTGGTCCACTGGGGCTTCTGAGGGCTGTCCACGATCTCGACTTCGTGATCACGGTTGAGGACACCGACGTGCTCGCTGAAGCGACGGGTAAGGCCTGGGGCAGGACGGTTGACCGCAGGCTCAGTGTCGTCAAGCTCTTCGATGGCATACTCACCGGCGGCGTTGTACGAGGTGTTGCGCAGACCGGCAGTGGTCTTGCGGCGCTGCTGCTGAAGCTGGGAGACAGGGGAGCCAGTGGAGGTGGCCCTGCTGCGGGCACGAGCGTTCTCCATGGCGGCTTGTTTGAGCAAGGCTTGTTTCTGCTCACGCTCCCAGTAGCCGGCGGGTAGGCGGACTCCGTGCTCTGAGCCGTTGGAGGACTCGATCTCGTCGGCGTCGTCTTCACGCAACTGCGAGAGGCCGACAGCGGACTCACCAAGAAGGCTGGGCTTGGATGGACGGTGGCGGAGGTTGGCGCTGGTGTTTGGCTGACGCGAGAAGCGGCTGACAGGACTGTGCTCGATATCGCCTTGACCTATGCTATAGGACTGGGAACGGACAGCCTTGCGGAAGGGGTTGGGAGCTTGCTGGTTGAGCAAAAAGCCAATACCGTTACCGTCGTCGCCTTCAACTGTGGTGGGAGAGGGAATAGGCTTGTCGGTAGGAGCGAAAGCAGAAGTAGGGGAGGGAGCGATCTCTTTATTCGGGCGATTCAAACCGTTGAAGCTGGGCGTATTCCAGGGGAACGACGACGTGGAAGGGCGCGATTGTTGGGGCAGCTCGAGTGACGGCGTAGTGGGCTGAGAACCGGCAAACGACACCGAGGGCAGCGAGAACTTCCGGTTGGGCTGGATGTCCTGGAGCCAACCAGAGGAAGGACGTCGAACTCCAAGAGGGTAGGAGCCTTGCGCAGGGCGAGTAACGACTGGCACGTGCTCGCGGTCGTCGTCGCTGGACGCCAAGACATCGCTGTCAGGGGTGGGACGTCGGAGTTGCAACTTCGACTTCTCGAGCGCTGAACCACCGACGGTCAAGCCGCGGTTGTAAGGATTGTTACTCATCATGGATGGTCTACTTTGAAGACGTCAGTGATCTCCTTGTCATGGATGACAGGACAGTGGCCGGACGTACCTTGAAGAGTTGCCGGAATGGGGATGAATAGGGGGGTGTCTTGATGCACACTACCTGCACACGGAAGATGTCTGTGATGCACACGGTAGATGCTATGTTACGTGGTCGAGGGTGTAAGAAGATGTAATGTCTAAGCAGGTGGTGTGTCTTTATGTCGCCTTCACCTCTAATCGCAAACGCGCAATATGTTAGCGCCGACGTTATCAGAAGGGGCGATAAGGAGCGGGGTATTAAGGGTGAGAGAGGTAAAGGCAGCGGTGAAGGTAGACGTGAGGGCATACGTGGGGGCAAACGGTGAAGGTGGCCAGCCAGCGTAGGTGAAGGGCGGGGCACT